CACACACACACACACACACACACACACACACACACACACACACACACCAAGAGGAACAAAAACAGCTTATTAAATACTTCCCCTTTTTTCCTACATTTCAAACCGTCACAATTCTAAAAGAGCAGACGTTGCGCCACTGAATTAACGCACAATTAACTTATTTATATTCTCAATAACCAGTGTGGTGGGTGCAGAAAACAACAATAAATTTGACATATGACTCACACTAAAAAAGTTTTCAAAAATGTGTACGAATCTGTGGATAATGTGAGTCGTATGAACTTTGACACAACTGGACGGTGAACAGCTCCCATGATGCTCTGCATGGCCAACACTATGTTACACAGTGAGATAAACTGAGGTTATTGTGCAGACAGATGTGAATGGATCTGCTTGAGCTCCTGCATGTGCGGCACACTTCCCTGTGTGCGTCTAGCCATTCAAAGACCCAGGCACATGAGGCTGAAATGTGTGTGTAATGTCATGTGGAACTGTGTGATACACTGAGCAGCTGTTTGTAAACCGTGGCCCTTTTTGGATTTGTGGAAGCGACAACAAATAAAGAACACGGCTATGAGTGGGTAAAGTTGAAGTGTCTTTTACAGATGTACTTAGGATATCGATGTTCGCTCATAGTGATGAACCTGCAGTGAATTATCACCAGACTCTGCAGTTCCTCTTGTAGCCTCTTTCAGCTCTTTGTTTTGGTTTTCACGGTTCACAACTTTGCTCTTTTGTTTCACTCTCACCGCTCTCATCAGCGGTTGCTTTCAGATAAAAAGCTCCATTGTACACAACCTGCTCAGCACCTAATAGCATGGACGCCTTCTGCTTCCGGCGCTTCTTGAGGCGAACCAAAATAAACAGATTTTGCAGTAATTTAACTGCAATAAATGGATCAAAGGGATGCCGAGATAACTACATGACAAAGCCGATTTGTCAAAAAGTCTGAATTCATGCTTCGTCAGGTCTGTCCGCAAGACGACAAGCAAACAACTTTTAACAGGCTTGTTTTCTTGGAGTTTAGATCAGTCAGGGCTATGCCTTGCTATGCTAACTTTGCAGCTGCTGCATCCGTTTTATATTTAATTTAATTGTTCATTCCTTATGTGTACAGTGTCCTTTTTCGTCCGGTCTGTGTACAAATATGAGGCGCTATCGTAGAGCTCTGGGTACCCGGAGACGGCTTAAATAATGTTGTCATCCATTTCTGATTCAATAATGTCAGGACGCCAAAACGTCCCGATTCCGATATAGATACCGAGTACCGATCAGATACCAGAGTTAAATGAATAAGCTGTATATCTCTTTGTATCTGCATACCAGAAACACTCATGATCTGATTGATTATTATGACCTGAGAATTTAAGGGACTCTGAAGTTACTCCGAGTTAGATATTTAAAACTCAGTAAATAAAGACATCCGTATTTATCCTCCAGTTGTCTGAACGATATAATGCACCATTTGTTGAATCCATCTGTGCAATATTCTGAGAAATTAGGATTATTCATCATAATTTCTCTTGAACTATAAAATCCAAGACATTTGAAAGAGGATCTGCAGTTATTCCAAAAGAGAGACAGGTGGCAAAAGAGACAGAGAAACGGAGCCTCGCCATCCCACGCCAACGGACTGACACACATAATTGTAGCAATTTGGTTAACTAAGAAGTACTAATGTGGGGCAAGCGTGTGTTTCTTGTCCCGCAGATTGGAAATGTAAATTCTGTGTTACAGACGGGTTGGGCTAGGTGTTTGTTCTGCCAGAGCAGGTGGAAACGAGCCAAATGTGTAGTTCTAAAGTCCACGCTAATCCAAGGATTGCATCCAACCACATGTTTCGGACTGGATAAGGAGTTACGTGCCAAATTAAATTGTGATTTGGCTCCTCTTTGGCGCAGGAGTCACCACTGAATCATTTGACCATGTACTTCTAAGTACCAAACCAGACATGAGCTTTGCAAATTAAAGGCTTTTATGAGACGTAATGGGAATTTGTTCCAACGCTAAGACTTTGATGAGTCCTGTTCAGAAATTCCATTTGCTTTCCACGGCTTTTATCTGTTTTCATTAGAATCTAATTGATGTCATCAATGTAGTTTATCCAAGGCAGCTGACCAAATTAATTAAGCGTGGGTTTTTTTTTTTTTAAGTTGCCTTGACAAAACAGCCCAAAGAAGAAGAAGAAGAAAAAAAAAAAAAAAGGAATACAGAGCGATAACGCTGCATGGTTAAAATTGGACACATGTCTGCGTCTTGAGCATTACAGTATTTCAGAAATTGTGAGCATTGCATTAAAACATTCCCTCCGGGTGCTCGAGGGCCTCCGTGTGAATTGTTTATATAATAACCTTGTGGCCTCCGCTAAAACTCCAGAGTGTAACAGCTCCTCTAAACCCACGGGAGAGGAAATAAAATATGCCGCTCAACAACAAGTTCTCTGCCCCCGTCCTCCCTCCCCACCTCGCTCCGGCACAGATCCTCTCTGCCAGAACATATAAGTCACTTGTAACTCGTGGCTTACGGAGAATTAAAACATTAACTTTCATGTACGTTTCCTCCAGAACATCGGAGATATTTTGGATTTCTCATTTCAGGAAACGCGAGGGTTGTAAATGTTACAGAGATGCATGTTTCATTGAAAAGGTCTTAAGAGTTCTGAACGTGGAACAGTGGAAAGAGAGACTTGGATGGAACAGGAGTTCCAGCATAGAAACGGTCCTTAATAGAAGCCTTTTCCATCAAGATGAGACGGTACAGGCAGGAACGTCGCTTTCAATGCTCGGGTCAATTTATAGATTTCTATAGATGTCTTCTTTCAGACTCGAGGAACGAAAACATCCAAGACACACATGAGGCCTTATTTGCATATTTAAACATAACATTTCTGAAAACTTAAAAATAATCGTCTTAATGTAAGTAATCAACTGATGGAAGTTTCATGGTGGTATTTTAAATACGTACACTAAACCTTCCCGTTTCACTCCTATCTATATCCTGAAGGTCTTTCTACTGAGGGGTTCGTTCATATGTCATTCATAACCTGATTTATAGAATATTTCATTCCTAAACATTTGGATAAACATTATGGCTGTTGACACAATTTTCAAATTTTTATGGAGTGATACAAAGATATATCCCAAATCTTCTCTACATAAACCTTTGACTCGAATATGTCGACAAAATGAAACAAGTAATGTGAACCTGGCTTTATCCAATGTTCATATTTTGTGTCTGTTAAATGTTAAAGCTCATTCCAATAATGTAACGTTCTTCTGTAAAAGGAACTATCTGACTTTGAAAATACATCACTGGTGGCCAGAAGATCTTTATATCTACATTTAAATAATAATTAGAAGTGCTAAAAGGGTGGAAGCCGTCTCTTCAGCGCTGTTGGAACTCAAATGGCCGGAGAGTATTGAGACCCTCCCTTTGAACACAACTCACACTGGAGATGTGTACAAAGGTAGCTAGCTAGGTAGATAGCTGTAGCTGAACAATCATCACACCCAAAAAGCAATTACAGCTGCAACTTAAAATTGCCCTGCGGAGTTTTCTTGCAAACAAACAAACAATATTTACCAAAATATACTTGCACATTGCACAGCTTCTCTCCGAGCTACCGCATGCTTGTACGGGGTGGGGGGGGGCGCTAATAAAAACATTACTCAATAGCACTACTAGTGGTCAAAAAGTCCACAGAGTGCCTTTAATTATTCATTTAATGCTTTTGTCTTTGATTGATGTTTTTTGATAATAAAAAAGGAGACTTACAAACAGGTCTAAAAACAAAAGTGAGATAAGGAATGTGAGGCAAGAGGAGAGAAACTAAGAGTTCGATCTGGATCCACACTGAAGCAAAACAATAACCACAACTTTCCAAAACATGCTGGTTCTTTGAAATATTAAGAAATGGGTAAAAATCGGTTAAATACTCTACTTACTGAAAACACTTGTATTTTTAACTACGACAAAAATACAATTTGCAAAACAAACACTTTTTCGATGTCATCTTCCCACTTCTCTTTCTCTTCTGCAGGAACTGAAAAAGATGACCTTTATTCATATGTTAGGGTGAAACGGATGCAGATACACACGTCTGTTTCAAACCAACCAGTACGAGTCGCTGCGAGAACCCTCACTGGCTTCCCACCAATACACAACCAGCCCAGACAGAGCCACAGGCCTGAAAACAAGCCTGGCTCTCTGCTGTAGTCTAAACTTCATCCCGTCCGTCTGCCTCACCGATACTTCTGCTGTTTCTAATGGATCTGAAATCAACACGTGTTTGAGATGTCGAGCACTTTCCGTTCTGAAGGGCCGCGTGGTGCTCGCGGCGTCGTGTTACGCCTGAAAGCGGCGTGAGTGCGGCGGAGCGAGAGCGGCCTCCTGTGCCGTGAATGAAGCCGGCTCCATTTGTGACAATCGGGAGTTGGAAGCTCCAGAGCGAGCGCTAATGACAGAAGCAGCGGGAAGACAGACTTAATGGGACAACTTCCCCTGTCTTTATTGAGCAATTGCTTTTAAGTAGCTTCATTGTGAACAAGGAATCCTAATCAGTGATTAAAGCTATTGGAGAGGACGTAAGAGGTGTAATTGTTTATCGGGATCCAGAGCATTGCTGAGGGGAAGATGAAAGGGTGGGCGATGGATCCAGCTGTGACACCGAGACGAATATTAAACTTTGTCTCTCAAGCAAGTGACACGTTTATAAACACTTCCAGTGCAGCGTATGACTAATGGCTGCCAACTTTGAGGTCAACGTCTATGAGGAGACGCTTTGACACTATGGATTTTGTTGCAAAAGAGAAATACCACTAGAGAATAGTTGTACTGCTCTTTGTTGAGGATTAGCGTATTCTGTGGGGGCTGGAGGTTGAGCATGTGTTTATAGATTTACATATGTACAATATTATCAG